AGACCTCGGATCTGAGGCAGAGTCATTATCTTGTCGCTTGGCTTTCTTTTGAACTCACTGCCTCAAGAGGTCTCTAAACATTGAAGTTGTCAAGCCTGGACCTTGTTTGTACTTTTTAGGTTGGAGAGGGCCAGTCTAAACAGGACATCCTCACACAGGGTGGCCAAGGAGGTAGGAATGAGGGGACACACAGGCTAGCTTAGAGTCATCTAGGCTTGGAGGAGAGGAACAAGGAGGTGTCAGAGGGGCTTGAAGAAGGCACCTGGAATCTTGCTTTAATGACAAAAAAGTTTATGTGTATGCATTTTGCCTGTATATATGTGTACCGCATATATGCTTGATGCTGGAGGTCAGAAAAGGATGTCAGATACCCTGGAATGGGAATTATGGCTGGCTGTGAGTTGCCCCTGTGGGTGCTGGGAACTGAATCCCAGTCCTCTGCAAAAGCAATACATGCTTTTAATTCTTGAGCCATCATTTCAAACCTGGATTGGCGGCTTCTAGTGTTGGGAACATATGCCATGTAGCCAAGGGTGTGCCAATGGCAAGGAAGCTGCAGACAAATTTGAAGCAGCTTGTCTTCCAAGAATGCCTTGACCACCAGCTCCTGTGCTCAACCTTCAAGAGGACAGTGTTTGTGGGGTGTTAGGGAATTGAAGCTAAGTACCTGGACTCTTGAGGAGATAAGGGCAGTGGTAGCAGCAGCAAGAGTTCCGAGACCACCTTTGCTAACCCTCCCCAAAATCCTCAGACTCTTGCAACCCAGAATTAACAAGACTATGAGAGTGCACACCACAACTTTAGACATTGATAAAGAACATAGTCAGTTATCTCTTTGCAAGTAACTTTTATTTACAACTGAATTGGTGGCTTTGTTCCTCAATTTTTAGGGACACTTGGAATCGGCAGCCAGAGGGAAAATCTGCAGTGAAATCAAACTCATTCTACCCCAGCCATAGCTCAGGAAGCTCATTGGCTCGGTCTAGCCCCAGCTCTACCACCAGAGACATCAGCACTTCCTCATCCACTGGGTCAGAATCAATGATAGTAGGGCTCTGGGAACCAGAAGGAGTGGCTGATTCTCCCCCTTCTGCCCCTTCCAAACCTTCCACCCCTTCCACCTCTTCCACCCCGAAGCCCCAGTTTTGCAGGGGCCCTGCCTCCCCTGGTTGGTCTGGAGTGGCAGCAGCAGCTGCTGCCGCAGCGGCAGCGGCCCCATGATACTGGCTATTAAGCTTCTGCAGCTGCATACTGGCCAGCAGATGAGGGGCAGGGAGCAGGTTGAAGGGTGGGGGCTTGGTAGAAGGGCTGGCAGTAGGAGAGCCTCCTGGAGATGCTGATCCAGAGGAGCTCGCAGGAGCTCCATTGGCTTTGGCTCCATTTGAGTTGACCGCAGGGTAGTGCAGGATGGCCACTGCTTTGTGTTCCTTCACCCCGAGGTTGGAGTAGTCCAGAGAGGTCATCTCCTGGTCGCCATTCTAGAAGACAGAAAGGTATACCATAGTAGCCCTCCTGGTTTTCTTTTTGGCATTCACTGGATCTGGACTGCTCCTGCATGCCCTGCATTTACTGCTAATAGTGGGAAGGTGAGAGGAAGAGCCCCTGGACAGTGAGCTTTCTTTGGCTACTATGGTTCTGATTCCTAAGTTATCCAAAGTGGGCCTCCCTCCCCTGCTACTCAATGTGGCCCCCATCTAAAAAGGGCACCCCTTTGTCCCTCTCCTCAGCCCCACTATAATCTCTTTGCTACAGTGGTCTTGTTTCAATTCTGCTTCTTTGCTCCCTTCCTGCTGTCTGTCTTTCAATACCCCTAGTGAGTTCAATTCAATTGCTTTTAGACAAAAGCTACTCTCATTTTTCCCGACAAAGCCCTGCTGTATCTTCTCTGGTCAATCACACTGGCTACATGCACACCTAGGAAGGCTAGGAGCATGTCCCCTAAAGTCCATCTTTCCATGCCGCAGTATCTCCATCGGTAAAGTGGCAAAACTTACCTCCTTCACAGAGTTGGCACCACCCTTGACATCAAGTGCAGGCCTTGACATAGTTGGCATTTCAGAGTCTGGGCAGAAGTCAGATAAATCGGTGGGAGTTGAGGCCTCCAGCTGGAGCTGTTCGTCTGTAAGTAAAAGAGAAAAAATGAATAAAGGTGAAAGGCTTTCTTGACAAAGGAAGCACTAGAAAATTCCAAGTCAGGATCCATTCAGCTACACAAGGACGCTGATCAGATTAAACTAAACAAAAATAAAAAACCAAAACAAAACAAAAAACCAAAAAACCAACCAACCAAACAAACAAAAAAACAGAGAGAATCTGGGCAGGGAGCAGAGACTGAGGTGAACTCTGACCCGAGGCCAGGAATATGCTCTATTCAGCCAGGCTCTAACAACGACCCCCAATGCCGAGAGAGAACACATGAACATTTACTCATACAGGTTATTACAGAGTCCAAAGCTAGGGGTGGCGCTGTTCCTGATTCCCAGAGCAGGCATGTCCCTGAGAAAGCAGCGCACCACGTCAATGGACCACTAGCCGCCAGGTCTAGGTCTCCGATGGGACTGGGGGAAAGAGAGAATTCGGGAGAAGGATGCCCTAGAGTCTCCAAAGCCCTGTCTTGGGGTATGCCTACAAGAAGACAGCAGACCAGGGGGTTTTGGAGGCTCCGAGGCAGCAGGAGCCACAGAACAGCTGGAAGTAGCTCAGTTCCTCCATGTCTCAAGCACCTACGAGACAGTCCCTAGATTGGGCTTTGCTAGGACAACTGTCCCAGAGCCCATAGCCAGGCCACACCCATGTGGGCACGAGAGAAGAAAGGATTCTTCCTGGAGGGAAAATCCGATGAATCCAATGGTTTTCAGCCTGGAAGCAGCGGCAGCAGTTTGTAAAGCAGCATCTTGCAGTCCTTTGCCACATAGCTCTCCTGACCACAGGTCAAGTCCTCATACCCGAAATACTCAGATGGCTTCTAAAGAAATGATTCTCTTGCCCATGTGCCAAAGAGATAAGAGAATAAAGGGGAAAAAAATCAAAACCAACCAACCAACCAAACAAACAAACAAACAAAAAACCACTTCGAACTCAGAAAATTAAAATTTCTTATTTTTCTGGAAGCATATGTTTAAAACCCTCATATATTCTAGCATTGTCATCTTAAGGAACCCAAGAGTCATTTCCCCAAAGAGACTAGAATTTTGCTGGGACTCTACCCTCCTTGTTACCCCCAGCGGTTGTTAAGAATGCGTTGGCTTCTAAAGGTACCACTATCCTTTTTCCTCTTCAGCAACCGCCTACTGGGAGAAAGGAAGGCAGGGGAAAAAAAAGGAGAAAACATAGAGGGGGCACTTGCTGGGTCCCGCACCACTGCTTGACTGAAGTACAAACAGAGCTGATGCAAGCCATCTATATTTCAGCCATCTATCTCAAGACAAGGGCGCTAAGCGTCTCGTCGTCAGGAGAGCCAGCACCGCCACTATAGCAAGTTCCTCATCGCTTCACCTTCGTCTCCATCTTATCCCTCCCGTATGGCACCCGTACCCAAATGTTCAAAGGAAAAAAAAAGCCCCCCCTCCCCAAGAGCAACACTAACAGGGGTTAGAAAATATGAGAAAAGTGCGTGTGTTCTAGTGTCGTCTCTCAGGGCAGGCCCTTGTAACATTCCCCTCGAGGCGCTCCAGCCCGCTCGGAAAGCGCAGAGCCCATCTCTGGGGTGATCTTATTTCCTGCCCCCCGCGATCCCATTTTCTATCCCCTACCCGATCCGTCGGCCATTGGAGGGGAACAACTTGATTCACGAATGTCTGGACGAGCCACGAAGTGACCACTGCGAAGCCGCCGGGAGCCGCCGCGGAAAAAGCCGCGCAACAAGTGCCGGCTCCGCGGCTTGCGCCTCCCCTCCCCAGCCCCGCCTGGCCGCCCCCCGCATCGATCCTCCCCCGCGCCCAAAGGGGGGTATGAGAAGCGGGGATGGAGAAAAGGGAGAGGCAGGTGGGGGGGGGGGGGGTCATGAACCTGTCCAGGGAGCAAAAGTTAAAAAATGACACCAACCGGTAATCTCCATCTCCATTGCTACTGAGAAATCTAAAAACAAATCCAAACAGCACTGCGGCTTGGCTTGCACGCCTCCAAGCAGCCCGTTGTTTACCGACAGCTCCCCAGGCCTCCTCGATGCGCCCCGGTGAGGGCCACCTGCGCGGGGCTTGGCCGGACGCAGCTCTGTCCGCCAGGAGCAAGCAGCAATGCCTGAGGGCTCCAAGCTTCCGTTACCTCAGGTGCTCTGAAGCAGACAGGCGATGAGACCTACATTTTGTTCAGAGCTACTTAGAGGGATCATATGGCAGCCTCCGTGGCTTCCTTCAAGGCCCAGGGTTGATGTCAAGGCTTTCTGTCCTGTGGTCATCCAGGGCAGAAAGAGGCAGGATGCGACGACGCTGAGAAATGCTGTTCTACGGGACGGGACCATGGGGCTAGGTGCACGCATGCAGTTCACATGGTTCATGGAAAAGCCAAGAACAGGCAGCGGGTTCGAAAAGCTTGCCACAGAGTTCGCAGAGATTCCTCTTGCCTTCCCACGATGCCAGGTTATTTTATTTTGATTATATAATTATTCACATCTAGCAAGAACAACATTTTGCACTTGGAGCACATCTCTCTTGTGTTGGTACGTTTTCTTACAAATCCTTACTAAAAGAGATCTGGGGCTTCTCATTTCAAGGCATGTTCCCTGCGGCTGGAAACTCCCACCGCACCCCTTTCAGGAAGGCCACCAAGATTACCCTATGTAATCAAGCCCCCCACCCCCTCCCACCCTCTCCTTTCAACAACTCAGTTTTTACGCCGTTTGTAAAACATGGCCTTTTGAAAAAGTACGATGTTTAGGAAACGAGGGAGGAATGTTACAAAGGCCTTTTCACTGTGTGTGCCTTGTGTCATAACTGGCTTTAAAGACCTGAAGATCTTTTTTCTTCTTCTTCTTTTAGGATGGCAAGTGCCCTGAATTTGCTCTTCTAACAGAGTCAGACCTGTTTGTTGATGAAATGACCGGCTTGCTGACAAAGAGGGGCATCAATGGAGAGACAGATCTAGGCCCTTCTTTGGCATTTCGAAGAAGCTAGGGTGAGTACCCTGGATGGATAACTAGGGAAACCCATTTTACCCCCGTTGGGCTAGAAAGCAGCCTTTCTTGCGCTGCTCATTGCTGCCCCCCCCAGTCACTCTGCTGCAAGTCCAACCGGGGTAACAAGCACACTCCACTTGCCATTGCTACACTTCCTCACTTGGCTCGAAGACTCTGATTCTTTCCTGCAGAGAAGAGGCGCGGTCTGTGGGACCCTAAAGTTCTACTGGGGTAGCAGGAGAGGTACACCTCCAAAGTCTCTCGGTATTTGCCTGGGGTGAGAAAAGTTTCTGTGAAAGCAAGGGTGGAGAAGGAGCGGATTTAGGCTTGGCGTTTGAATCACGGTTGCTAATTTGGACCCCTGACCTGCCCCCTCCACCTCTGTTTGGACTCGGGCTGGTTGTAAACTACAGGACACAGCTGGGCTGCAGGCTCCCGTTCCCAGACCCGTGGATCCGCCCTCCATCTATTGGATGGCTCCCAGGCCAATTGTTAGAAAGAGGCATATGTTCATCTCAGCTTCTGGAGTGTCTCCGGAGCAGTTGCTCAACAGCTAGCCCCCTCCCCCATCCGGACCATTGAAGGCCAGAAAAAGGAGCGCCCTCCACCACACTTCTATATGCCCAAGTTCCAGAAAGATCCCCACCCCACGGGTGACTTCCTGTCATCTCCACTGCCCACCTCCCAGAGAGTAGGAATGAGAGGGCTATAAGCACTCAGCTTTGAAGCAGAAAAGTCACCCATTTCCTTTTGGGGGAATGGGAGTTGAGGTTAGTGGCAGAGACTGAGTGGGGGCTAAGAAGACATTTGCATTTCTAGGCAAATATGCCTTAGATCACTGACTTCCCAGCCGACTCCAGGGTTAGCTCGGAGCTCCGCTAAACTCTTTTCTCCAACTTAGCAAGTAGACCACAAGCTTGTGAAGCCAAGAGAGAAGTGATGCTCACCCAGCAATAGCCTTCTAAATGTCCATCATGAGCCGGACAACGAGCATCCTCTCTCTCGCATCATCTCATCCAACTCCTAGGACACCCCTGTGAGGTTGGATTACCAAAGGTGAATTAGCCTCAGAGAAGTGCCCAAGTTGGCACAGTCAAGAGGAAGGGAGTTTTTATTCTGGCGAGGCTGGCTGCAGTCTCTACCCTACAGCCCTACACCCTGCTGCCTGGAGGGCAAAGAAGAGGTCCAGAGTGCAAGTTCAGGGGTCAGTCGCCTGAACTAAATCCCTTCTCTGCCATTTGCTAGCTGTGTGGTCTTAGGGTAAGAGGCTGTGCTGGTGATGTATGTGTGCTCAGTTTTCCTATTAAGTGTATATTGTAAGAAATTAACAGAAACTGTAAGGTTAGGAAGGAATCTTCAGCTCGAGTGATTGATGCTGGGTGGTAAAATGGTTAGTACATGCTGGGATTGGTGTTGGTGCTGTAATGTGCCTTCTGATTCTTTTCCTTTGACCCCATCCCTGCCACAGCTCACACCCTTCAGGTTCAATAACACTTGCTGACTGAGTAATTGAAATATCAGACTGGGAGGGGGATGAATGAGCTCTCTAAACTCAGGAAGGAAAAGATGAGAATGCAGGTTTGTTTTCAAAACTCCACTCGCCACTGCCAAAGCTGCCTGGACCATGTGACTGGGATAAAAATGGGGTTGGTAAAAGATAATCATGCTTATAGGTCAGTCTGTAAATGTAGAAATGGACCCCAAAAATATAGTCAATATGTGCACAGAAAAGTTAAAAGGTACAAATTTAAATTAAAAAATTGTGTGTGTGTGTGTGTGTGTGTGTGTGTGTGTGTGTGTGTGTGTGTGTGTGTGTGCTTTCGTGATTTCATTTGCACCATATGCATGCAGGAGGTCAGAAGAGGGAATTAGATTCCCTGGAATTGGAGTTACAGGTGGTTTGTGAGCTGCTATGTGAGTGCTTGGAACTGAACCCAGGACCTCTGCAAGAGCAGTAAATGCTCTTGACTCCTGAACCATCTCTTCACCCCCCAACACACATTTATTTGAGTATATTTAGAAAAGCCAATGTGGTAGCACACACCTGTTACTCCAGTACTCAGGAGGATCATTAGTTCCAGGACAGCCTGGGTTACACAGCAAATCCCAGGCCAACCTGGGCTACACAGCAAGTTCTGGAGCAGCCTGGGCTACATATAAATAAGCATACATACATACACACATATATAAACAATTCTCTGTCATATACATATACACACATTCCATACATATACATATATGAAGGAGAATTGTTTATAATAGAAACCAACCATAAAGGTCTATGGCCAGGGAGTTTCCCTTGGTACCTTAACCACTACCTCCCAAATTCATTTTAAGATTTTAAGAACTTTTATTCATGACAAAATATTGAATAAAAGCCCTGGGTACAAAGTTGCATAAATATGAGGCCAAGGTGCGGAGGGTACAAAGGCTCCAAAATGAAGGTTTCTTTGCTTCCAACCCCATAGGACTATGGGAATAAAGCATTGGCCGGAGAAACACCCGAGAGGCAGTGCCAGTAAGGGATACGATTCTGAATTATCCTTTTCTATTTTCTCTAGTATGTAATTGTATTTACGTATTTGGTGTGTGTGGGAGATGTGTGCACGCGTGCCCCGTGTGCACCTGCCGCCGTGTATGTGTGGAGGTCAGAGGGTAGCTTCAAATGTGTGTCCTGGAGATGTAACTCAGGCCATCAGGCTCATTACCTGCGCAATCATCTCAGCAACCCAATGTCTCCTTTTTTTGAGATAGGGTCTCTCTATGTAGACTTGGCTGTCCAGGAACTCAATGTGTAGACCAGGCTGGCCCCAGACTCACAGAGATCCCCTTGCCCCTATCTCCCAGATGCTGAGATGAAAGGTGTGTGCCACCTCATCTAGCTTATTTTTCTTTTAATTAAATGTACATTTATAGTTATTAAGCTCCTTGAAAGTATATTTTGTTTCTTTTTTTGAGGCAGGATGTTATTCTGTAGCCTAGGAAGGCCTTGAACTTTCAATCATTTGGCCTCAGCCTCTTAAGTACTTGGACCTATTTTTGTTGAAATTATAAGTATACATAGAAAAAATATTGGGTGCAAATATACTAAAATGTTAACAGTGATTATAATTGAGTAGTGGAATTATGAGTAATATTTTTCTTTTTCCTTTTCGAAATTTTTTTGCAGTATGATTACATTGTTTTTTCACAATTAGAATAGATTCATAACTTGAAAAGTGCATAATCAGTAGTATTCTACTAGTGGTAAAATTATGAATGCAAATTGAAAAAAATGGGAAGGAAGTATATTGAACTATTAACAGTTTTTATATTAGCTGCTAAGGGATTGTGGGTAATTTCTTCTCATTTTTCTGTAATATGGTCTTATTATTTTTATAATTAAAATAAAATGATACCTAAAAATAGCGTATACAATATGATCCAATTTTTGCTAAAAATTAATATATGCATAGAAAAATAATTGATTATTCTGAAATGTGCTTGTCTCTGTGTGGTGGGGTATGAGTGATTTTTTATTCTTTTCTTTATAAATAAATTGTTTCTTCATTTTCCAAATTTTCTACAGCTATCATCTATTATTTTTAATTATGAAAAATGTAAACATTCATAAAGCAGTTAATAGTGGAGTACTTATGGGAAAAGGGTGCCTTTCTGAGATTTGCTTTAAAATAGTTCAGTGTGGGCCAGAGGAGACCGGATGGGGCTATAGATTAAATGAGAAAATTGTTGAGGATGGGTGTATGAGGCTTTTGTTTTCTTTTGGGAATGCTTGAAATTTTTATAATGAATATTTTTCTTAAAAAGCCTCTTTCACAAAGACCATTTCTTTTCATTTTTGCCAACTGTATGTGATTCCCTCCATTTCCCAGACAGCTGTGACTCAGAGTCGGAGTTATTTGTCCCGGGTCTTCTCACTCCAAGTCCAGGGCTCTGTCCACATCCCAGGTGCTGTTGCTGGGCATCTTCTTTTTCTTTATTGTTTTAAAAGTTTTTAAAAAGGTTTATTTATTTGTATTTTATGAGTATGGATGTTTTGCCTGCATTTATGTATGTGTACCTTGTCCATGGTGCCTGGTGGCCACAGAGCCAGAAGAGGGTGCTGGATTCCCTCGTATTGGAGCTTTGGATGGTTGTAAGCTGCCTTGAAGATGCTGGAAACTCAACCTGGGTCCTCTGGAAGAGCAGTATGTGCTCTTAACCCCTGGGCTATCTCTCCAGCCTTTCTTTTTTTGTTTGTTTCTGTTTTGCTTTTGCACTGCTGGGGATCAAATCTAGGGCTTCATGCGTACTGTACCAGTGAACTGAATCCTCAGCTCTGTTTTCTCTCTCTCTTCTTTTAGTAATTAAAAATAACATTTTATCTGATTATAAATGTAATTGTTCACGGAACCGACTTTTGAGTGAACAGGAATGTACTAGAGGAAGACATACTAATCCACCCCCAAGCAGTGTTGTTAACCCTTGGCTGTTGGTTCTGTGGACTGTCTCCATGCCTCTTCTTGCAGAGGTACTGCTAGCGGTAAACCTCTTAGGGAGAGTAGTTAGCCATCTCTGAGTGCATCTGCAGCTGTTTAAGGTTTACCCATCCCAGCTCTCTCGTTGTCCCCTTCAGAGGCTGTAGTCTGGGTCCCCTTTTAACAATCACCTCCACCCCAACAATCCAAACAAATGAAGCCCATTAGTGGAAGTTCAGGTGACCCTTCTTCCCTCACCAACCTGGGGACTCTGCCCAGAAGCCATCTTAGAACCTGGGCATTTGCAATGCTCCAAGTGGGCCTGTGCCTCCATTTCCCCATCTGGGAGATACTAGTGAGACTAGCAGACCAGTAGGCCCCTGCCAGGGAGTGATGAGCTAACGTCTGTAGCGCTTTCCAGCCCCTCTGAGCAAGGTGCTGGAGCTTCCCAGGCTTGGCCTGCGCCTGCTGCTACCAGCCTGATCGAGTGCCTGGCCTGGCCTGGCCATTCAATGGAGGGAGCGGCTGCATTCCTCTGACCC